AGCGCCAAATATATAATCGACTGTTTATTACCCGATTCTTGTGATAAAACATCCATTAGTTTGGAGTGCAATATATGGCTCTTCTATTGTGTCATTAAATTAATTGGCGTTCAATGCAATCAACTCAACACTAAATATGCCATTAAATACTTGCATATTTTGGGCTCACTTTCTGAGAGTTTATTGAAAATAACAAATTCAAGAATTACATCAGATATAGAATCAGATGAAACTGAACCCATGGATACAAACAACACCGTATCCAACAGTACATTGGATTCATCTCTAGTCGAGCCATTGATCGCAATGATCAACGAACCAATGCATGTCAATGTCATCACAGGCCTCTCAAATGCCGATAATCTCACCAACGAATCAGAAATATTGATATCTTTATCGTGTTTATGCCATTCCCTGTTGTCAGCGCATCCATTGGCTGTCAATCAATACCGGTATTATTGTTAACATTTGATGGCTAATTGTATTCTCACTACTATTATGTTTCAGTCTCTTATATACGCTGGCATTCAAAGCAGATTTTCTGCGAACTCTATGGAAATACATCACTTCGGTGTCGACTCCATCGGTGTTCGGGGCGCCGACGTCTCTGTTGTATATCCTGTCGCGTGGGCTCCCATTGGCAGCAGTGCAGGGGTGGCACCAAATTCTGCCTCAATTGACACTATTCTGCACTTTATTCAGTTATCTGTTCCCGACTTTAGATGACGTGGAGTTCTATCGTGACATGGATTCCAACTTCGAGGTGACGTCTACTCATTTATCTACCATTCCTTTCACTCTCCAAGAGTTGGCTTCGATGGGACTCACGCTGAGAGACGTGTGCATTGGATTAGTAGAGTTAGCATACGATGACACCCGACCCTCAATGCGAAACGACTACCAAAACGCTCTCAAACCACTCAACCAAACCGACGATCACAAGGACGTGACCCGTCATTGGATGAAACTATTCAAGTCTTGTGTCAAACTCTTACGACAGTTGCACTCGAGAGACTCGAGAAGAGAGTTCTGTCCGCCCGAGCATTGGATCAGCAAACAGGTGACAATTCCTGTCGAGAGACCGACAAACTTTAGAATCGGAATCGAAGGCAGACGAAGGTATAGAGAATTCATGGGAATCAGACACTTGTCCAGAGAGGAGCTCGAAGAACACGGACCGCCCCTTTCGACCACCGAAGTGAGGAATGTAACCATTTTGCAAGAAATACCATTTGTCGTCTCATTCCTCGATCGCTTCAAAATATTACAAACACTCATATCGATCGATAGGACACAACACAGGGGCGAAAGCCATGTCTTCAATGTGATGGGACCTACCATTCAAGTGGTCATTAGACGCAACTATATATACGAAGACGCGTTCGAGAAGTTGTCGCCAGAAAACGAGCCAAACCTTAAACAAGCGCTTAAAGTACAGTTGGTTTCAGCCATTGGTTTGGATGAAGTGGGTATCGATGGCGGCGGTATATTCAGAGAGTTCTTATCAGAAGTGCTCAAAACTGCTTTCGACCCAAACCGAGGCTTCTTTGCGTCGACGAGTGATAGTCTTCTCTATCCGAACCCTTCGGTCACATTAATTGTCGAGAATTATGTCAAACACTTCTACTTTGTCGGCCGAATGCTCGGGAAAGCCATCTATGAGAACATGTTAGTCGAGTTGCCGTTCGCGGCCTTCTTTTTGGCCAAACTGTTGGCCCGACACTCGGCCTCAGACGTCGAGATCCATCACTTGGCATCTCTCGACCCTTTAATCTACAAAAATCTGATGTATCTTAAGAGCTATGAGGGAGACGTCGCTGAATTGGGACTTGACTTCACTGTAATTAACTCTGATTTGGGGACCACTCAAGTGATTGAATTGAAGCCCAACGGCGCTAAAATCCCGGTCACCGCTCAGAACCGCATCGAATACATCCATCTGATGGCTGATTACAGACTGAATAAACAGGTTATATATTAACAAATGTTTTATCCAGTATTTGATTGTCTTTCTATACACAGATCCGTTCGCAATGCGCGGCATTCAAGCAGGGCTTGGCTGATGTGCTGGACTTGGATTGGCTCCGTATGTTCGACCCGAGAGAACTGCAAATCCTAATATCGGGCGCTCCGACGCCTATCGACATCGAAGACCTGAGACGGAACACCAATTATGCCGGCGGTTATAACAACGAACACAAAGTTATCGTCGTTTTCTGGAAAGTTGTCCAACAATTCGATGAAAACCAAAGACGAAAATTACTTAAATTTGTCACCAGTTGTTCTCGACCGCCACTATTGGGCTTCAAAGACTTGGTGCCCGTCTTTTGTATACAGAATGCCGGCCGAGAGGCCAACCGTTTGCCGACGGCGTCCACTTGTATGAACCTTTTGAAGTTACCAGAGATTGAAGACTTGGCAACAATGAAACAAAAGCTCAAATACGCCGTCGATTCGGGCGCCGGCTTTGAACTCAGCTAATGATTGAATGATTTTATTTTTTAATATAAACATTTAATAAACACTAAATTTTCACTCAAGTCGTTATGTCTCCTCCTCTTTCACTATATCTTCATTAGACCACAAATATATGAAACCCTCGGCTGCGGTCAACAGTCTGTTAGCACTCGGATGTGAGCTCAGAGAGTGAACAACTCTATGCATGTCGTGACCAATCTTTCCGATAATAGTTGTCTGTAAATCATATAAAATATAATTATTTGATAACATGTTATGTTATACTAATTGAGACCTCAATTAAACTCCAACAATGCACTGATCCGTCTTCAGAGCCCGAGAGGACAACCGAATCATTGTCTGTCAAACAGCTGTCGATTCGATATTTACTATTTGAATGTCCGGTATATCTGTTGACAAAAACGGGAATGCATTGAAAATGCAGTATAAGATACGGCAAAGAATCGCTTACATCGCTAGTACTTCGCCATTGCTTTTGTCAAGTAATTTGACGGTATTGTTAAGACAACTGATTAGAAGACACTGTCCATCGCGTGTCAAACAGACATTGCTTACAGAAGCTGTCATACAATTAAACCAAATGTCAATTAGTTTGCAAATGAAGTGAATAGAGGAAGAGGTTTACCATCAGTTCGGTCGCAATTCATGATCCCTTTCCTGATATCATAGGAACGAACGGAACAATCAAGAGATGCCGACACTATTTGCTGGTCGGACACAACCACTGACGAGACACTGTCTTTGGCCTCATCTAACACTTGAATCGCTTCTTTGGAGCGACTCTTAAAGTCCCACAATTTGACGG